AACTAGATGATCTTTAAGGTCCCTTCCAACCCAAACCATTCTATGATTCTAAATACAAATTTTAAAAAAATGTTAAAAACAGTGTGGTTCTTTATTAAAGTTAGTTTTGTTATTTTCAAGGTCTAGATTGAAGAAGGACTATGATGACTTTAAAAGACATCCAGACCATGATAAATTTACCAGAGAATTGTGGAGTAATGATGAAAGTGAAGTTGATTCTGGCAAAGATTCTTTTGCAGTAGTATGCAGTAAATCTTCAGAGTCTGCAAAACATGTGGAAGTTCCCAAAAAAGATCATCCAGACAATGGTAAGCATTTACTGGAATTTTATAGCTTGAACATCATTCAGGGAGCTGAATCAAGTTGATTCAGGAGCTTAATTTTTCCATGTGGGCTTGTGTCCTACTTTTTACTTTAATTACTACTGTGATAATATTGGAATAGCTTGTGATGCATGTCTGATGGATGTAGACAAGAAGAGGGCAGACATGACCAAGATGAAAATTCTGATTAGTGCAATTTCTTGCCATTTTTGTGCTTAGCTATTTTATGTGATAACAGGAGGCCTCAGAATTTACATTTATGGTGGGTTGACCTCGGGTGGCTGCCAGATGCCTACCCAGCCACTCTGTCACTCTCCTTCCCTAACAGCACAGGGAGATAATACCAGATGGGAAAGCTCATGGGTCAAGATACAGGCAGGGAGATCACTCAGCAGTTACTGTCACAAGCAAAAGACTCATTTGGGGAAAATTAATATGATTTATTGCCAATTAAAAATAGAGTATGGTGGTGAGAAAGACAAAAACTAAACCACGTTTCCCGCCCTGCCCCATCTCTACCTTCTTCCCAGGCTCATCTTCATTCTCAATTCTTCTGCCTCCTCCCCTCTCAAGTGACACAGGAGGGATAGGGATTGGGGTTTGAAGTCAGTTCATAACACTTGGTCTCTGCTGCAGCTTCCTCACATTTTTGCCCTGCTCCAGTGTAGGGTCCCTCCCATGACGAACAGTCCTTCACAAACTGCTCCAGCATGAGTCTTCTCCACAGGCTAGAGTCCTTCAGAGTAAAATTGGTGCAGTGCAGATCCCACATAAGCTGTAGTTCCTGTCAGGAGCCTGCTCTAGTGTGGGCTCTCCAAGGGCTGCAGCTTCCTTCAGGGCATATTCACCTGCTGTGGAATGTGGTCCTCAACAGGCTACAGTGTAGATACCTGCTCCAGCATGGTCCTCCATGGCAGAGGGTCAACCTACTTTGCACTGCTTTCCCCTCCTTCTTCACTGACCTTGGTGTCTACAGGATTATTTCTCCTATGTTTTTTCCTCACTCCTCTCTGTGACACTCTTCTGCACAGCATTTTCCATGATGCTGACGGGCTCAGCCATGTCCTGCAGCTGATCTGTTTTGGAGCCAGCTGTGTCTGGCACAAAGCAGCTCCTGGCCTCTCCTCACAGAGGCTCCACTGAAGGCCTGCACTGCCAAAACCTTGCCAAAACTTTGGTGCACAGCCACTCTGTCCACCCAGCACCCCTGCCTGCGTCCTGGGCCCTCTTATGTGCTTCATGCATTCCCTGCTCGCTAGCTGGTCCAGCTTGATGGTCAGTATGAAATATGTTGTGCTCACACCCTTGTCCAGCAGGCACCCCACACTCACAAGTCTTCCTGATGTGCCAGCCCAGACCGCCCCCAGACCCCAGGCTGCCTTGCTCACTGGCTAGTCCAGCTTGAAGTTTGCCAGTGAACAGAGACATGCTGGGTTTGAGGATGATACGGACACTTGACCCCACATCAGCCTGCACCAGGCACACAGGCTGTGACCTCCTGCTGTGTCCTTGCAGCTCCCCCTTCCTCCACACATCCCTTTGTGCGTTTGTATAGCTCTACCAATTCACTCACCTCTCCCAGACCAGTGTCCAGGATCTCTCCTGGTTTATAATATCTGTTGCAAAGTCCAGGTTAATCTTCCTGGAAGGGGCACCTGCAGTTTCTTGACAAGCCATCAGTTTTTGTGACTGGTGAGGCTGTTTCTTGTCATTGTGTCCGTTTTATTAGATTTGTGTCTCTGTATGTTTTTTTTTATTTCTGGCTTCTTCATTTTTCCCCTTAGTTCCCAACTAACCAGTTCCTTGATGAGATAACCTTGCTGGAATAAATATTCTCACACTCTTACATGCCTTCATCAATTAGTGTGAATGACCAGTCTGATTTTCCTCACTATCTCCCTTGCCAGTTAGGTGTGTGTCCCTATACGTTCCTATTTAATGTTTCCTCCTTTCCTTATTTCCTGCTTTTTGCATTGAAAAGGTCCTTGACCAGATGCCCGTAAAGCAGCAGACATTCCCCTTCCACACTTGCAAACTAGCATTTTGCCTTCAGCTAGACACTGTAAAATTGTTATATAGAGGTTTCAGTTGCAAACATGTAAAACCCAGTTTCTGTTTTAATATCCTTGCAGATGAAATGAAGCTGTTAGAGATGAATTTACCTGCAGGAAAAAACAGAGTTCTGAAAAAAGAATCAACTTCTAAAGAAATACAGAAAACGCTAGCCAAATGTGTTAAACGACAGTCCAAGCAAAATAGTTGTCTCGATCAAAGCACTAATGAGCTTTCACCAAGGAAGAAGGCTAAGCTGAGCACTAATGAAGCTGTGGTCCAGAGTTCAGAAAGCAGATTACAGCCAGATAGTTGTTTGACTGAACTGAAACAGCTTGAAGGGTCAGCTCTAGAACTGTTTTCCTTGACAGATCCTGCAATGTCATCGGTATCAAATTTTCTGAAAGGGACCAAACCCATCCAGGCCTTGCTTGCCAAGAATACTGGGAACAAAGTGACCTTAACAAGTCAACTGTCACCTCCCCTAGGCATAAATGTATCTGCTTCTGAAAAGCCAGTTTTACCACCTTTGGAATCGTCACTGATAAAACCAGCATTGCCCTGCCAGACCAGTTCAAAGACTCCTTTACAAATGATATACAAAATGCCAAATGGCCACTGTGTACCAATAGACATTCATAACAGTTCTGTGAAAATTCAAATGCAACCTGTTATTGAACCTAAAACAGGAGAAAAAGTCATGCAGCAGGTTCTTATTTTACCTAAGAATTTTCTTACTCAGCAGAAGGAAGGAAAAATTGTGTACAAGGACATTCACTCACTACAAGAAAAATCATCTGAGCTGCACTGTACAACTTCACCAGAAATACCTAAAGTCAGTGTTTCTTTAACACCTGGTTTGGTAACAGGCCCTACAAATGCTACTACTCAGTCACCTAGTACAGTTTTTAACAAGAATGTTACCCACCTGTCACAAGTGACTGTTTCCATGAACACTACACAACCATTGCCTGCTGTAACTTCAGCAGGTGACTTATTATCATCAACAGTTAAGGTGAGCCAAGCTGAAACTGGCAAAATCAAGACAACAGTTTCAATTACTACCTTCCCTGTGTCTTTGACTTCACCTACTCTTTCCACACCTAGCCAGTCTTTGATATCAGCAACAGCACTAAGTGGCTCTACAAACACTGCCTCTGCCTGTTATAGTCTTGCATCACAGCAGACAACTGACCCCTTTGAAACTAGGCAAGAGCTGAAGACTATGTGTATAAGAGAATCACAGTCTATTCTGGTCACAACACGAGGTGGAAACACAGGAATTGTTACAGTGCGAACAAACCTAGACCAGATTTCACCTAGTAGTTTATCTTCTAGTTCAGTTTTCACTTACACACCTCAACTTCAGGCCTTTCTTGTGCCAAAACCCACAGTGTTATCATGCTCTACTCTTCCGTCTGTAGTAACAGCCACATCTGGTCTCCTACATGTTGGACAATCATCTCTTTCTGGATTTGCCCCCTCAACAGCTGCTTCTGTTAGCATTCCAGCTTTCTCAGCTGATTTTGCCCAGGCAGTGGAAAAAAATACCAAATTCACATTGCAGCAGCCTACTGTTGGGGGCACTTTGGGTCAAGTAGTAGAGAACTCCTGCTATGGGTCTTCTTCTTTGTCCTCCATTTCATTAGCTAGTAATTTGATATCAGCAACTACAAACAGTCCTGTTAGTGTGACTAGCATTGGACAAAATAACACTGTCATAACTCCAAATTCTTCTGTGCAGCAACAAGGTGATACTAAAACTAAAACAAATCCTGTTGTACAATCTGAGTCTAATTCAGCAGCAAATGGAGATTTAATCAGTGGTACTCCAGTCCAGAAACTTACATTAGTCACAAATCCACCTATTTTATCACCCTGTGGAGCATCAGGAGTCAGTATTATACCCTCTCCAGCATCCACTGGTGTTAATGCTCCGAAGCTGGTTTTCATTAACACACAAATTGCCAATGGCCCATCAACTGCCACTCTAGTTGCAGAGTCATTGAAACATAACCTTCCTTCTTCTCTAAGCAAAACCTTTGTTAGTACCAGAGAGCAACCACAGTTGGTTCTGATTCCATCTACTGTGGGAGCACCAATAAGAATAAATTCATCTCCAACAATTGCTCAAGTAAAAGATGTGAAAATTGGACTAAATATAGGTCAAACCATTGTAAATACTAAAGGCAATGCACAACAGGCTCCACCAGTTAATATATTGCACTCTGCGATTTCTAAAGGAGAAGACAAAAAGAGCATGGGCTTGGCCCTTTCTTTGACAAGTAGTAGTACTTTGGTTCCAGTTCCAAGTTTTGTGAGTCGAAGTGGTGTGTCAGTTAATGAACCTGTATATGTTGCAACAAAAGCTGAAAATGCCTTTACAATAACAACAACAAATGCATGTGTAGAATCGGTTTCAGTAACATCAAGTGGGATTTCTTCTGGGACACGGCCCACTGTCTTGATTGGTGGAAATGATTTCTCAAGAATAAGGCCAGTTCTGGGTAATCGACTGTGTGCATCAAATACTGGAAGTTCTGTGGGTTTATCAACTGTGAAAACAGGACATCTTGCTTCATCTGTGCTGATTTCAACAACCCAGTCGTCAGTATCTCCTCAAAACTTAGCATCTGCTTTGCAATTCCCAGTCATTAGCTTGCCTGGATCTGTAGCCACCCCCCACAAAGTGTTACATACGGTTCCTCAGTTGGCAGCAGTTCCAGCTCCTTCTCCAGTACCAAAAAGCCAGTTGCCCACACTGCTTCAGTTTCAGTCATCAGGAATTTCAGCTGCTATGCCAAGTAATGCAGGTGTTCACAAACCTCAGAGTGTGTTGCCCCCTCCATCCCCAAATACAGGTAAAGTCCTTAGTTTTCCCAGTTTTTCTTCCCTACAATGCCAGCAGGTGCCTCCCAGTACAGAGAAACAAAGTCATGCTTACACGTGTGCTTCTGCTGTTCAGATGTCTGCAGCTTCATCGACTGTATCAAGCAAGGCCGGAGGTCAGTTGAATGAACCTCACATTCAGCAGAAAATAGTTATTAACACTTGTATGCCTTTGGCACCTGGAACTCAGATAATGATTAATAGTACTCGTTTTGTTGTGCCACCACAAGGCCTTGGAGCTGGCAGCCATGTTCTTCTTCTCTCATGTAATACAAAACAGACTCCTCCTTTAACTATTAACCATGGTCAAGAGGCTCCAGGTGTACCAGCTGTTAATCCAGTAACCTCGAAAATTGTGCTAGCACCAAGTAACTCATTTAGTTGGCAGATATCAAAACATCCTTTGAAAAGCTCTACAAAAATTGTGAACTGTTTTGGGTCTGTGGATGCTTTGCCCATCGTACATGCAACACCCCAGATGTTTAGTACTCCAGCTAGTTCATGTACTCCACTGTCTGCAGCAACATTTTCTGTGTCTTCAGTGATAAAACCTCCTGTTAATGTAGCTACGTCTTCTGTGGTTTCTGCTACTCACCCGAATTCTCATTTACCAAACAACACTTCAGTGTTTCAGTTAGACACTTCTATCAAAAAGCTGTTGGTCAGTCCAGAGGGAGCTATTTTGAATGCTCTAAATACTCCAGCATCAAAAGTTTCTTCCCTGTCTTCATCACTGCCTCCTGTTGTTGTGCCCTCAAGCAGAAATCCTACCACTGTCTTCCCTGAATCTCAGTCATCTTGCCTTGATAAACCTGACAAAGCTGCATCCTGAATTTACCACAAATGAGCCACTTTCTGAAGTTTTTGGGGATTCTTCTGATTTTGGAAGTTGTAAAAATTGAATAATTTCTTACATTGTTAGAAACAATTGATTCACTCAGAATTACTTAAGATTACAGTCCTGTTTACCTGTGGGGTTTAAATTTATTTAGTTTGTCAGAGAAATGTTTTCAGAGAGTTCTTTAGTAAAAAGGTCAGAAATGACTAGTGAGTTCATTAAACATTTTAGTTTGCAGAAATCTAGCCTTTTGCACATGTTCCATCTTACAGTATGGACTGTTTGCCAGTGTGTTTATGACAGTATATAGTTCCTTTTTATTTGTCAAAGTTATTTTTGATTTGTTTCTGTAAAAAAAAATATTTATGCATTGTAAAAATGCAGTCTGTGGTATAGAATTGTACATATTCATTAATTCCTAACAATCTGTACCAAACTATATGTACAAAGAACTATGCTGTCTTATTTATGTTTTGTTTACATAATGTATAGTTTTTTAAGTATTTTAGTATCTTTGGACCATTGTACTGTTTAGCAACAATGCAGAAGAATCTGCATATAATAAAACAAGTTGCTGTACTGCTTTGTGTCGGCAAGATTTTAAGAATTTGTGTGTCTGTTACACCATGTACTTCTACACCATGCAGAATACATATATATACATGTTCCTACTTAATGCAGATGCGTCTCAGCTTTTGGAATATAGTAGAATGAAATTACTTAACCTGCTCTTCTTTGTGGTTTACATTTCACATTATTTGATAGGAGTTGGAAGGATGACATCTTGTTGGTTCTCCTGATACAGTGCAGGACAACCCATACTTCATCCATTCTTAATAAATGTTTGGTTATATTGCCTAAAATCTCCAGTGAGGTGGTAAGACTAGAAATGGCTTCCCAGACACCAGTCTAAATTGCACTGCTTGCTATTCAGGAGTACCATGTTTTGTCACAAAGCTCATAGATCTGTTGAACAGGTCCTTGTTCTCTTTTTTACAGCCTTGTATGCATTTCCAGGTATCTGGTAACTGTAACATGGTCACTCTTTAATCTTCTGTCTGGCCATAACAAGCTACCTAGTTTCTCTACCAGTCATGCTTTCTAGATCTGTATTTTTCTCTTTAGGTTTTAGTTGGTTTATCTGGAAAGATAGTGCTAAAACATCACAAAGTATTAAAGGAGGCCTTATTAGTGCTGAGTGTGAATAATTCACATATTACATAAACTTCCTTTTTCCATGCAGTGTATTCAATATTCGCTGGCTTAGGCTCAGCTTTTGAGCTGATAAAACCTTTGAATTGTTTTCTGCAAATCAGCTGAGTTTACAGGTGCCTGCTGCAGCATTCATGGAAATAGATAAGTTTTTTGATATCTTTTGAGATTTAACATACAGAGCCCATCTAGCAGCTCCTACTTTATGTAAGGCGATTATTTTAGAAATGTTGTTTTAAAGAAGCCATAGTCTCTGTTAGCTGCTTGGAAGATCCAGTCTTACACTGAATATCTTTGTATGTGTGGGATTTTTTTGTTGGGTTTGTTTTGGGGTTTTTTTTTAGAAACTAGAAGGGATGATTTCAGAAGAACTCATGAATGGTAGTTGCCTTTTTAATAGCTATGACTTCAGAGAGGGATAAAAGCTTACATATTTGTGTTTAGCAGCATTCTTAGATTGATTTTCATCAAGATGAAGCTTAAGCTTTTGCTCATAATCCTCTAGAGTTTTCTCCTTCCCCTCCCTGTTTGCTATACAGTTTGGATCTTGGGTTGAAAAATAAAACCACAGCTTACTCCCTCTGTTGCCTGTCCTTCATATTGTTCTGAAAAGTACTCCGGTAACCAGTTAAATAGAGTTCTGGGAAAGTGAGGGGAGGAAAGGCTTGTGTCTTCCATAGGTGCCTTCCCTTTCTGCACTAACTGAAAAATTTGAATTGGGAAATTGCCTCTTTGTGGATCAGCAATCTCCATCTTATCTCAGTGCTGGGAAAGATGGAAGCTGTCCGTTTTGGGATGAGAAGGTTTTTATTTTAGAAAAAGCTACCAGATACACTTTTCCTACTGCTCATTAAAAGTGTTACGTAGTGGATTTTGAAGACACTTAGCAGTAAGTGGTGTCTGCCTGCCAGAGTTTACAAGATTAAGGCTTTTTAAGTCTGATTGTGTTTTGCAGTTGAATGCTGCAGGTGACTTTCAAACAGAGGAAGATGAGAGAGAATGGCAGTTTATTCATGAACAGTGTATGCAATCTAAGAATAAATATAGGAGCAACACATTTTATTTTTATTTCACTGGTGGAACCTTGGGACTGACTTTCTTGGATTATTTTCTTCTCTTACGATGGCTGGTTTTTCTTTTTTATTTATGTTGTAGTTTGAATACCTACATTGTTTGGAAAGCTTAAGAATAGGTTCTACTGCTGCAAGTGGCCTGAATGGAGAAAAAAATCTTGCATTACATTTTCTTTGTGCTAATGTAGTAGAAAGATTTAGGCTGTAACTAATTCTAATAAAGAGAATAGTTAGAAAAGCTTAATTGAGGAACTTTGAACTCAAGCTACTTAATCTAACAATTTCTTATAAATTATATCAATTAGTTATAATATTACTATTATAACTAATATTAATTATAATAATT